TACTTATAATTCTAACCTGTTTAACATTTGATGTATCAGAGACCGTTGCTGGCTCTCTCAGTGTGCTTATAGCCCTCCCCATTGGTTTACCACGGCCCACTTCACCAAAACCTCTCCTCTAATTTTCTCTCTTTGCAGCTTCTGGCCCAGGAAGACCAAAAAAAAAAAGCCCCGTCAGAGTGGAGATTGGGCGGCCATGATGAATTGATTGGATAATTCCGACCATACGGGAGCATTCAGATGTGATTAAAGTAACGAGATGGCATTTGTCAAAGGTTACTGCGGCTAATGCGCGCAGAAAGCACAAGGCTGCCTTTGTCGCCGGCTTGTTTTGCTGGAGAAAGTGCTGGGTCAGGTTTATTCATTAGTCCGTAAGCACAAAACGAGACAGTAATGGTTGAGAGTTATTTGTCCTACATAGTCCTTTGTTTTCAACGCTATACAGTGGACTTCCATAGGTTGCTGTACAGTGACTGGGTCAGTGGGAACAGAGCTGCTTTGTTTGCTAATTAGCTTGCTAAGTAAAGCAGGACAGTGTGGAACAAATAACTCTGTTAGCACAACCTCTCATAGTATAAGAGTGTATGAACAGTAGGATGATCAAGATGAAAGTAGCATCTACTGCTAAAATCACCAATGCTACCACTCCTGGTACCACTATTACTGCTGCTAATGCTCCGAACACTACGGCTACTAACCTTCTTATTATAGTTGTGATACCCCCCAACAAACACCCCACCGATCTGCAGTGGTCATTACTCCTGACCAGCTAAAGCTTTGCAAGAAATTACCAAGGGGAATGCACTTTCAGGTAATCTTTAGCATCACTGAGCACCTCACTTTTTGAGCCTTCTTGCATCGGCCCTTTGAGCTAATTAGCAAAAGTAAAAAAAAAAACTAAATCAAGGGCCGAAGCCTTCCAGTGGCCTTACGAGTCAATTAAATTGACTAACCCTCTGTCCTTACATATGTCCATAGATTCAGGTAAGGAAATACCCCCAAAAAACCTTTAACATGGAAATACTGGAAGAAACCTCAGGAAGAGTCATAGAGGAAGGTTTCCTCTCCAAGGACAGACAGCCATCCAATAGATGTCAAATGTACAGAACAAACTAAATCAAATCACTTTTGCAAATTTTGACTCTTGTGTGGAGGACGCCAGGTGATGTTATAGAGCCGTAGACTGGAGGAGTTTGGATGGATGGAACATCAAAATGTCGGACTTTAACGTGGGACACTGCTGCTTGTCCCGTTACAACCAACAGTCAGTGTTGCCATTACTGTGGCAACAAGTCACATAATGTAAGTCAGGTATGTCACATTATGAAACATAAACTCTTTAAATGACTTATGGTTTCACACTGGACGTGAACTCCAGTCTCCTGGGTTAAAGTCCTGTGTTTGTTTGACCCATCCTTCCATCCAAACCCCCTCCTTACATAGCCTTTCTCACTCTTTACACTACATCGTCTGACACGGGGGGGTTACATTGGAGTTAGATGACAGCCCACTGTCAAACAGATGCTAAAGAGTAACTTGTGCATCTGTATGGAGATGCAGAGGGACGTCAGTATTTGACGCCCTGGGAATGTTTAACAAGCTGGATATTTTTCTTGTAGTTTTCAGCCCCAACCACCACTGAGAGTTCCCCTTTAACTTGAGATAATAAGGAGAAAAATCTTCAAAAACATGACCTGAGTTACAAAAGCTAGTTCTAAAGAGTCAGAGGTCACAGCAACAGTAGAGGGAACAAATATCATAATGATCACATATATCTCAGAGAGAAACAGCTTCAGGGTTTCTTCAGATTCACTGCGGTTTTGCTCCGAGGCCAACCAGCTCTTAACTGTTCTGTCTCACAGCTTGGACGACTCGGGCGCTGTCAGAGCCGAGCCAGGACCCATTATCTCCAGCCAGACTCCCATCGAGGCCACCGCTGGAATACCAGCCTCTAAAATGAGCGTCAAACCAAACAAACCCAAACTCTAATCGTCCTCCCTCTCGCTTGGCAACCTGTTGCTCTTGGCTGCAAAACAAGGAGCTCCGTTCAGCACCATCCAGGTTTCACACGGATCGGAAAAGGCTGAAAATCTCCCTCTACTTGTTTGGGTTTTATCACCTGTGCCTTTCATCGCCTGGTCGACTGCGGTCGTGGAAACATCAAAAACAAGCTGCACACGTTAAACCTCCCAAAAACATGGTGGAACAGTGAAGGTTTACGCAAATAAGCACATTTTTAATTTGCTTTCTCTGATTTATTGTACGTGGAGACAATATGCTTTAGTTGTTATATTTGCAGTCATAGTACAGTGATGTTTAACAGTTATGTCTACCTATACACACCTGGAAACACTTGAATTCAACCACCTGCATTAAAACAATTTAAGGTTACAATTTAAGGCAATTCTTTAAGAAATAAGGAATTAGCTTTGGAGAAAAAGGTGACACCTGCACAAAGTGATCCAGGAAAAAACTATTAGATGCAAGATTAAATAACTACCGCTAGCGTCTTTGGAATAGGAGCCCTTTTTTGCTTGTTTTGGAATAAAAAAATGCTAAACTAACACTTAAGAGCAGGCAGCAACGTTTTTTATTCTGAACCCTTCTTTTAGCTCAGGCTGACAGTAATGTAATACCTCGTATAGCAAAGAATAGCAGCATCTAAAATGACGACTGGCATAGTTCTCGGTGTAACCACAAGATCTCAAAATAGAGATCTGATGCAACGGAATGAAACTGACTTTTATTTTATGACAGAGAAACAATCGGTTTTAGAACTGGGGAAAAAAGGACCATTAGAGAAGCTTAAAAGCGATTTCAAAGTGCCAAAGTAAAGCCTGAAAACTTATCTGCTAACACGACAGTGACCCTGAGCATAAATCCCTATAAAGGACTAATAACAAGAATGTGAGAGTCCTTGAGGGGACCAGCCAAAGCTCACACTGAATCCCACTGAATGGTAACTTCCAGGCGGCCATTCACAGAAAAAAGCTCCTCAAACTTATATCAGAGATCATTTAGAAGAATCTTCTGGAAAGGCAAACTGACTGAGGCAAACACTGGACGCAGCATACAGACAGTTGTCGGCAGCAATGAGCCAATAGTAGAGAATGTCATCAATGACGTGTCACTGCCAGTGTAGACTCTTAATGCTTCGGCCCTGGTTTCATTTTCAAAACTGCGTTGCAGAACCAATCCAAACTCTTTATAGCGTTAACTTGCAGAAATCATGTGCTTGTAAACACTGTCATACCATATAACATATCTTTGGACATCAATTTTGAGGTTCACTCCAAAGTGATTCACTGTATTTCCAATGTGTTTCACTCCAGAGGAGAATGGGAGGAGAGCATTGTTTGAAGTAAGGACTATACAATAGTTAGTGGCCGTTCTTGTCACTGTTCGAGGAACGATCTTGCATTTAGAAATCCCCAGATGATTAATAGGAGCTGAGATCTCCAATCATCAGCCTTCAGAAAATGATTCTACAAAAGGTTTTCTGTGTAGAAACAACAAAGAATCTCAGTTTAATCTGTTTGCATTCATGCTGTAATCTTTCACACTGAGGTAAAGCAGCCAACCCAACAGGTTTATAGTTTGTAAAACCACTTGTGAATTACCTGCTCTGTCTGTACACGTATGTCCTGTATGTTGTGCATTAAACTCAGCACAGTTAAACAACCTTTCAATCAACTCCACACGTGTATTTCACACCGGTGAACCTTCGCTGTCTGCTGCTCGTAATAAATCAGAGGCAGAGAGCCTCAAACTGTTTTTGACAGCAGGTCCATGGGGAACCTCACTGTACACCGATCCACCCAGAGAAACACAACCTCCCTCCGCTTTCTGACCCAGTCATCACCTCCTCTTATCTCCTGCGTCCAGACGATTATTTCTGTTGTGTAATGATTGAGCAACTTCAGTTCATGGGAGATTCCTGCGTATAGAGCTTTTAAAAGAAGGCACTGTTCCCTGACAGGCCGAGCTGTCAACGCGATACTGCAGATAGGAGTCAGTTTGTTTTGGGCTTTTGAAGCCAGAGGCTCGCAGATCTGATGTTCTCTCGTCAGTGTGATTGGAAACTCCTTCCTCAGTGCCGATCTTTACGTCAAGGATTCATGGCGCTAAATCTGATCTGATTGCTAATCTGCATGAATTTGACATTAAATCAGTGCTTCTCAAACTGTGTGGTGTGGATGACCAGTGGAAAGATATGGAGTGAAACTAAGAAGGAATGATTTATGTAAGGAAAACAAAGACTTTTGGTGGGGGGCATATACTTTTTGGGGGTTTTAAAGGGGGAAACCAGAAAGTTTCATTACACTGCATTAAATGAGACACTATCTTCTATTCATGTTTGTATTATTTCCCCAATGTTCTCTATTGTCTCATGGTTTCTTTTTTAAAAAGCTTAAATTTAAATAAAATCAGGTGAAAACTTAATCTGTACTGATATACCACTTTATATTTCCTGTAAATTTTAGGTGCTTTTATAAAAAGTTTGCTATGTTTTGATGTTCATACACTATAAAACTGTGGGTTCTGTCATAGATTATTCATTTCGTAAAACTTATATTTTTTTAAGCTCATTTTGTTTGTTCATTTCATTATTTCCTACTATAGGTCTATATTGTTTTATAATTTTCTTCCCTTTTTATGATATTTTTTGCACATATGTTTGTTTGTCTACTAAATTTAAATAAAACATTAGAAATAGTTATTTATCACAAAATGAGGTAACGTTTACCATCACTACTGTAGTGCCAATGAGGTTTTGTAAAAAACAACAGGTTCATTAACTTTTCTTCCCCCATAAGCTTTTCACGTTTGCTGTGTATGAACATCCATGATTGTTGTGTATTTTTATTAACAATAAACAAGTTTAAATCTCTTTTTGGGTCACTGAGTGCTTCACAAGCTGATTAAAAAAGCACTGAAAACTGTTCAGTGTTCAAAGAATCTGAAAAAGCCACCAGGTGTGGCGCAGCTTGTAAACTCACGTAGATGTGTCTCTGCTGGTAGCGCAGGAAGAGGTTGTGCAGGATGGCGCCATCGTGAAGGTCCTCGAGGGTCGCCATGTCCTCCACCCCTCGGATGCTGCTGTGGTGCATGGGCTGCACCTTCTGGCGGGTGAGTGCATTCTGCTTGTAGGTGTACACCTGGATCACAGAATGAAAAGAGATGGAGATGAGAACCGTGTAAAAATCTTGTGCTTAAAACCAAACCTAACCTCAATCAAACTTAATTGTTCTTTATTTCCCACGAGGTAATAATTTTAAAATCACAGGAAAATGTTGGACCCTGTTTCCTGGTGTGTGGTTTACAGTACAGCTGGTCCGTGACCACTTCCTCTTTAACTGGTCCGGTTGTGGATCATTTATTCACTGGTTTGAGGCCAGGCCTGACACTCAGATCTTTACCACAAGTTTCTATTTATTTTTAGATTCAGCTTTCTCTCGAAGTTTGCCTCGTTTATGACCGAGTCGAGCCGGTCCAGGACAGATAAAGGTAGGACCCCAAAGACCACAGCGGCTTTTCATAAAGTCTCAGAAGAGACACTAAAAAATGTCATCTTAGTGATGTGGAGTGAAATTCATTCTGGTGGTTTACTGACACTTTTGTATTCCAGCATCATATAGCAAACATTACGACCTTTGGCAACACATATTCTTGTGTCGCAGAGATAATAATGCATGATAGAAAACATCTGGGAAAAGAGGCTGCACCAGGACAGACAGCAGTGTGTTTTCATACAGAAATGAACAGATATTTTGGATGTTATAAATGTTTAGAACCAGCTTCTCACAGCCTCGCTCTGTTTGACCAGTCAAACAGTTTAACTTGGTAATTTACAGCAGAGAAGCTCCTGACTGACAGATGATGATCTCATGTTACTGGAGGAGTGTAAAATGTGGACGAAAGCCTGGAGGACAGAGAGACAGTCCTCTGGCAGCACACTGAGTAATAACTGTAAATGTTTAAAAAGGCTCAAAATTCACTGGTGAAAATAAATCAACGCTTTAGGAGTGAAGGCAGGTGGAGGTGAAATAAGGGAATGGTAAGCGGTGACACAGCATCCAGATGCTGAATAAAGAAAGCTGTAACATGTACTGTAGTATCCAAAAGATTAGAGTTCACTGTTAGAATAAAACCTCACATTTTAGGGGGTTTGGGGGATTTTTATGCCTTCAGATAATTTCAAGCATGCTTTCTCAACCCAAAAGTAGGCGGACTCGTTCTGAATGACTTTTTAAATGCTGAGCTCTCTGATGTCTGACTTTTAATTTGACAGAAAAACTTCCACAAATGTCTGTTGAGTGAAAACCGCTCATTTTGTATATGTTACTTACTTATTGTGTAAATGCAGTGCAGGGATGTGTATACTTTTTGTTTAAGTTGAGAACCGCTGATTCAAAGGACCAGTGTGTCGGATTTAGTGACATATAGCGGTGTAGATGCATATTTCAACTCCCTCGCTTCACCCTCCCATTCTGCGAGGGACAAACTACAGTGGCTGCGAATTGTGAGGAAAATGTTCTATCTAGAGCCAGTGTTTGGATATGAAAGGCTCATTCAATTCTTATTTTCAGGTGATTATACACTAATGAAAACACAATTATTCATATTACATTGCATTTCTGACAATAGATCCTCCTAAATGTTACACACTGGACCTTTAAAGAAGGAAAGGAAGGAAAATTAGGAATTAAAGAGAGTGCAGAAGGAAGACAGAAAATGAGGAAGGAATAAGGAAAAGAATGGAATTAGAAAGGAAGGAAATACAAAAAGCTGCAAGAACAGAGGGGATGGAGTAATATATGTCTAAAGGTCATTGACTTACAACAGATGTTTTTCTGATTTTCTGATGTATCTACATTTTGAAGCTTTGAAACAGTGACAGTTTACAGTTTTACTTTGCCTACAGTGTGTCACATTGGATAGAAAATATGGATCTGACTTTATGTTGCTTCTGGTTTGTCTGACTGATTATTTGTCATCAGGTTTCGCTTGAAAAAGAGTTTCAGTCACACTACATTAAATACATATTCAATTCCAACCCTCAGACAAACGCAGTGGGTTAAAAAGTACAATAAATGTCTGAAATGTGCTGGAGGAAAAGTAGAAAGTCTCCAAAAAGTACAGCAGTACTGTACACACGTATACTTGAGTATAGTAACAGAGTAAATATGTTCTGGCCTCCTCTGGCTGGTTTTGTCTCCTATGGGCAGAACATTAACCTTCCTCTCACAGCTCATATTTCATCACCTTGCACACAGGTGACACATGGCTGATAGCTGAGGTAAATATGACCCTGGGCTGCTAGCAACAACCAGTCAGGAGCTGGAGGAGGGTTGCAGCAGACTGAGGACAAGGTTTAACAGCTTCCCATAACGAAACTCTCCCAGTGCATCGTCAAAGAGGCTTAACCACCATCCTGCTGAGCGTCACATGTATATCAGTGGTTCCTAGTTTGCATTTTATACATGCAAACTATCTGCGTAGCCTGATTGTCCATTATCTACTGTACTATATCTACAAGGGTAAATACAACCTATACGAGCAGCCTGAAATGACGAGGAGGACATCTGACTGAGACTTTTCTCACCTCTGCTTGAAATATGTTGTTAGGTTATGCAATGTTTGCTCAGTTTTACAGATAGAAATAATACTTTATCATTTGGTTTTCAGATTCCAGACAGATCAGGTCCGACATATTAGTGTAACACTGTGTTTATGTTAAATGATTGCATTATGTTTGTTGGACAATCAATTGTTGAAATCAACATGCGTTTCAAAACGGATGATTCTGACTTGTTGGCTTTTGCGTTATGTTCAACACCCCCCAGATGTTTGTTGTTGCACTTTTTTAGGTAAGTTTAGGTAAGCCTTTCCATTTACCTAATTAAAACAAATGTATTTTAATGGCTTTCTTTCAAGATTAAACAATTCTGTTGGGTCAATTTAATTTACTTGGGTTGGATCAACTTCGTGTAATTTTATAGCTGTAAAATTTGTTGGACCAACCCAATTAAATTAAAGTCAGACCCAAACCAAGTAAGTAAGTTAAATCAACCTTACTAAACTTATTTAAACAAAAATGTAATTACTGACTTTCTTCACCCCCAGAGGACAACTGTCAGGAGATAAAAACCTCCAGATAAGTATTTATCCTTTTGATTTCCGTTTGAGTAAACTATGAGCAATGGACATAAAACACTTTTATGAAGCGCCACAGAAATTAGTGCTGAGGAGCAAATATGGAGTCTCAAAACACAAGAATATTGAGAACAAACACAGACAAAGAAGCTATTCTTCAGATCTGCTTTCTACACGCACTCAGTAACATCAGCTCCCCATTAATGAGAGACAGCCGAAAATCAGCCGACTGTTTAGACCACAGGACGGTCCGGTTATGAAAAGGAAGAGCCAGTGAGGTTAATTAATACAAGACCTCAAATTATCACTGCTCTGCAGGAGGTCCGCAGCCTGCAGGAGGACGCACAGAGATCACTGAGGGGGGTCCGCTCCAAATAATGATCCATCACTGCAGCGTCACAGAGGATCAACGGGAGAAGATCAAACTTGAGTTCATCAACTTTTTGGAGGAACTCTGTTTAGGGCTCCTTGGCAGTCGTTGTTATTTACATTCTGTGAGTCTTCTGCGAGGTTTTACACCGTCAGACTTTAACCACGCTGGCTTCTGGGTGGAAAAAGGAGAGCAGCCAAACCCGGTGCTGTCTCAGCCTTTTTTCCGCAAACAGCAAAGTTTCAGTAACACACATGAACACACAGGTCCGGCATTTCTTGGAGTCTATGATGTGTTTCAGTGGTTTTAAACAGTTTTAGTAGCTTTTCTTGCTAACTTGCTAACTATCAAGCCCTGCATGTCCAGAAATGACACGAGAGGGAACCACTCCTTTTTAAATGAACACAAGATTCCAATTCTCCAAACTTTTCCACTAAGAAATAAAGCCGAATATGAAGGACATGTACAATCATATTGTGGTTCAGCTCCAGTAGGACTTTAATCAAGATGTCAGTTTGTGGTGTTTGGCTTTGTCGAGGCAAAAACATCTTAAAACTGAACCTTTGTCATCACCATCCAACGAAAAGAAAAGTCCCAATGAAACCTTTAACACTGTTACTGCTGCGTTTCTTCTGCTGTGGATAACTGATAATCTGCTTTCTCACATGAACTAAGCTGCGTAAAACAAGACTGTACGTAAGAGCATCAGCTGAATGTAAACATACACGCTCTGAACTCTGGGGTCGCCTCTAGCTGGTCGTTGACCCGCTGTGACCGAGCGGCTCGGGGAGACTCTGCCTAAAGAAAGCCGGTCTCTGTCAAAGGAGTCAATCAGATCTGACCCCCCCACACAGCACACACATTAACACCAAAAACTCCCCCAGTATCCTGCCAGGCCTCATTTCTCACATTCCAGCCTCAGTGATGCTTGAACGTCACAGAAACGTCTTTCAGATGGATGAAACGTGATCGAGTCTTTTCATAAACGCTGCGTTCACAACCTGCATGTTCTGATGTGGGTTTATTACTGCTGCAGTCAGTCCAGGAGATAAAAACACCATTTGAGCCAAAAAAAAACAGAGACTTCTATCAATAAAATATGTTTCTTCTTGTAATAAACTTTTACATTAACCTTGTGCTTTAAGAAATGAGATCCACTGTAGACAGTGAGAGGGAGATAACTGACTTGTTAGACTAGTCCAATGTTGTTTACAGTCAACAGTCAGACGTGCAGTCGGTCCTGGTGACCCGGAGAGGACCGTTAGCTGCTGTAAACACAGCTTCACCTCTCTGTCAGCTGTTAGACCCTGATCGCTCCTGCTGCACTCAGAATTAGTTCAATATTCTTCGGTAAAGTCGTAAAATAAACTTCAATTAATTAATTTAATTAATTAATTTACTAATTCGAACATTTTTGTCAGGAAAGTAATTCCTCCCTGATGTCTTTCTAGCAACATGACAGGAACTTCCTTTATATTCTTACAATATAGTGGTAAGAATGAGTCCTTCAACCTGAAAGTAAGTTAACATTTTCCGGTTCCCTCGTCACAAAGTCGATGTGATTTTGAATGAGCTTGGTTAGATTCCTCAACTAACACAAGCTTAACAGATTATGTTCTACAACATAAAATA